GCCATTATTTATACACTGAACTGTCTATGGGTTTTTCTTTTTTTTTTCCGATCATTCAAGGAGCACACGGCGGGTGTGACCGATTGGCAGGGGATGCTCACTCCTCCACTGGCACCTGATCCCACCTCTAAATTTTGAGGTCCGTGTTTGCTCTGCTCCAAATTTGTATACTTTCATTGGACCTTCCAGATTGAATACTGTTCGTTATCTTCATCTTTTCATACAGATGACAATTAAGAGAAAAACAAATTCCTGAAATACAAGTATACATGTATTCTAATTTTGATAAAACATAACTTTTTGGAATGAATTAAGATAAAGAGCTACAAAATATTTTCCTCGTCTCTATTTATAAACAGGCATGTAGTATTCGGGGGGGGGGGGGGTCTGCCCTCCTTTTCCAAACATACCCCCCCCCCAAAAAAAAAACACCACACACATACGTTCAAAAACGATACTACGTGCCTGATATATATACACAAAGATGTTCACTGCAGGACTTGAACTTATCATGAAAAACAAGAACACTCGCGGCTAGCTTGTTAATCAATAAAAATAATTTTTGGTGATCGAGTTTTAGATGAAATATTTTTCAAGCTACAAAAATAATGTATTCAGATGTCCGCACTTTACAAAATGCAGTGTAAATTTTTGTCAATAGTGCCGCATTTTTTTAAAAGATTATAGTCACAAATGAAGAATCAGTGTATTAAATCCAAGATGCTCTCCTTAATTATTACCACTTCGGATTACATTGTGCATTATACCAAAGGTTTTTTTTTTATTTTATTTTATCCAAAATCTAACATCTAGCGGCTTGACAAGCTTTCCGTTAAATACAGTTACATGTAATATCTATCACCTGGCTGCTAAGTTAGGCTTACAATCAACTCTCTACCATCGACTTACCAGTGATAGAAATAAACAACAGTTCTGCAAAAGGAGACCTGCTACGATCTTGAACACAACCATCAAATAACCCACTTTCACGTAAAAGTAACGGCACATACAGAGAGAGATTTCATATTTACGAAATTTTGATTAATCTACATGTATAAAATAGTATCAAATACAGATATTAAAAATTTTTACTAATCCTTTGTATAGGCATTTTATGTTAAAAATCTTTTGCAACTTGCAAGGGCAGATCCAGGAATTTTTTCCCAAGGGGAAGGGGGGGGGGCTATCACACAAACTAACACCTATCTTACTTGTAAGGGAAGCTCACTCTAACTGCATAAAACCACCCCATTCGGCAAACCTCGGGTGATTCCGTCACCTTCATCACAGAGGTACGAATCGGCCGAGGTGTGCCGAGTGAAAACTACCCAACAAGTAGAACTCTTTAGTATGCAGTGTTTAGAGCTTCTTTAAGAATTCTTGAAATTAAATAGTTGCAATTATAAAGTTAAAAATTAATAAGAGATATGTGTACCAGAACGATCTATAGAAGCCGATACAGAAGATCCCAAGTGGCACCCGCACCCCATCCCCGCAAGTCGGGAAAAGGTGGCTTCTTCTTTAAACTGTTCAAAGTTTTGTGCTTAACCGAGAAAAACACCATGTGTGTAGCATACACTGTAAACTATTATATTTTTTTTCTGCACGTTAATATTTCTTAAGTAGGATAACCCGTAAATGTTATGAAATCTTGAAGATCGTTAGTACTAAATAATAAATACTCAACATAATTTGTGGTTCATTAAACTTCCCATTCAAACAATACATAAGAACTACTGAAAATTTTCAGTTGATAAATAAAAATAAAATCTTTATGTTAAAAATTTTCAATTTCAATGGTTAGTAATAAAATGATAGAACTTTGAATCACGTTGTCGTTTTCCGTAGCATGCTAAAAACGGAAAAGAACATGCATGATCCGAACAATTTGAGTTTAAAGATATACCTTCTTGTATTATCTATCGTGCCTGAAAAAGAAATGTATGGTTAAAGCTGAAAATTAACTGTAGCCCATGTACCGGTATATGCCTATATATTAATATTGCCCACCTGCCACCAAGTTTAAAAAAAAAGTGTTGAACATCTCATAAATCGTTCAATTATAAAATTATTCTATAAGCTAAATGCACAACAACCCAAATCTTCTACTGGATTTGACAATGAAATTATATATAATTGGCTTGAAGACATCTTATGTTTGCAAGAAATGTTATAATTGCTCCAATTTAAACCAAAAAAAAAAAAAAAAAATCAAGCGTAGCAATGGATTGACAGTTAAAACACTTTGAACATGGGGGGGGGGGGGGTTCTTCCATAAGTATTAGCGAATTTTTTTAATTTCATATTTTATACATGTAATTCAATGAGAGTCATTAAATTTTACACAATTACAGGATATAAATTGTGCATGAATGGTGATTAAATGTAAAAAAAAAATTATATTTTTTTAAAATGACCACGAAACACAGAATTTGGTAGAGGATTACAAAAATCGGTCGCATATATACCAAATACAGTATATTTTTTGTTCTGTCTGTGTTTCATTCTATTACATTTAGTTGTCTGTCTGCGAAAACTCTAATATTTCACCTAGGCCTAACTTAAATTTGAACCGTAGTAGGTAAAATTATCAATCACCTTCAATGTATAAATTACTTACGCTTTTTGAAGTGTATTTAGAACAAAGACTCTGTTTTTTTTTCTGCTTAACCGTAATCTAAACATATACAGTAATATACTTGTATGTACATCCATAAATTAATCTGGGCTATCACTAATTTACAGGCCCGTAGGAAGCAATCTTGGGGGGGGGGGGGGGGTACTACCAAAATTCCTTGACAAGCACAATTTTTTTTTTAAATCCATCAGACGCCTTTTTTTTTTTATATAGAGGCACAAGCATCAAATAGCTATTTTTCTATAGTATAAAACATACTGGCAAAATTATTGGGCGTTGGGGTGGCACGGCTCCTGCCATATTTTTTTTATTACACTGAATCGAGCCTTCCAATGTTCTGCAAGAATTGGTAATTGTTTCTTAGCGGCATTAGCCAGTAGTCACTACACTCTTTTTTTGGATAATTCCTTCAGGGCCGGTCTGATTTTAATAAATAAATAATAAAATCAAAATAGTTCATATGTGCTTTATGATATTATTGCTTCCGTGTAATAAAAACCATCACTGAATTGAAAATGATTGAAAAGGGGGGGGGGGGGGGTAAAAGGCTTTGAAATGGAAAGACTATGTAAATAATGTCCAATATGATATAATTTTTTTTTTTTTTTGTGATTATTGAGATATTCCATGTCTTTTTTTTTCAGGGATGATTTTTAAAAATAATTTGCGACTAAGTAGACGACCATTAGATTCTGACGGAGCAGGGGGGGGGGGGGGTATTCATTTCGAACATGTCCAGGGACAGATAATCAATTTTAAGTTAAGAAAAGAAAATTAACCTCTCAAACAAAACTTTATTTCATGTATGTTTGGGAGGAGGCAAAAAACGGTCAGATTATTTATTTCTCCCTTATTTTTAACATTTATTCCCAGAATCTGCCACCACCCCCCCCCCCCTTTCAAAATCAACTGATCTCGTCTCTTAAGGTTAAAATGTAATTATTGTCGATTTATCTTTTCTTTAAATTAATTTCAAAATGGTATTTATCTTCTTTCTAAAAATACAAGCAATGTTCAGCACAGATGTAAGCCTACATATATTTATGGCATTCGGCAAACCTCGGCTGATTCCGTCACCTTCATCAAACAAGTTAGATGAGGTACGAATCGGCCGAGGTGTGCCGAGTGATATTTATGGTTGTGAGTGTGACGTCACATCGACTTTGAAACTCGAGATGTGCACACTAAATATGCACCTCTTAGCTGAGGTGAAACAAGTGGGCGGATCATGGATCTTCAAATTTTTGTAACCTGTTTTCTGTACTAAATACTCCCCACTTTCGTCTCCTCTTCTGATATTTGATTACCTAAGTGAAGGAAAACTTTAATCTAAAGGAATAAAGTTTGTGTGTTGTACTACGATGACAGAATACCTTATATTACATACAATGCCTATTCGCCATTTTGACGCAGAAAGTTCGGGAAAACAGTGTACGTGTGACGTCGCACTTCGAAAAGTGACGTCGAACAGGAGTCGTCTGCAGTGTACACATTGGCAGTGTTGATATCGTCGCATTTCTCTGGTTATTTGTTGGATTTAATCGTTGTTACGACTGTAAAAATACTTGTTAGTGTTTTCGGTTATCGTAATGAATATGCATTGGTATGTATTTTCGTTCTCTGCGAGTTATTTCTTTAGGAGATCGGCATGTATGTGTAGGCCTAGTCTTCATTCATGGATACTTGTAGAACGGAATACTTGGGATTTTTAAGCGTAGCGTGACAGTACAAATACTTCTACCGTGTTAATTACCGTTTAATTTGTACATCGCGTGGACTGATTAACAATACAGACCGAATACACATTGTATAAGGATTAACTATAGGATTTTTACCTATCTCAACTGGCGCATGCTCAAAGGGGTTAGTCGCCGCTGAGCGGCGACTAACCCCTTTAGGCATGCGCCAACTAACCCCATAAAATTTTCATCTAACCCCTGCCATTACAAGCAACCTTGTTTACACAAATAAATAAACAAACACAACAATAAACAAACAAACAAATAAAAAGAAAAAATAATTACAAGAAATAAAATAAATTATTTATAGAGAGATAAACAAAATCTTTATTCAATACTGTATTAGACACAAAATGCAGAGAATTAAGGCAACATTTTTTTTTCTTTTGAGCTACAAGTACATGTAAGGAGACTTAGTTGCTTATTTTTTTTCAATTCTTTATATTCCGAATGAAATAATTATTCCGAGTTAAAATAATACCCTGTTTCCAGTAGTTCTGGAGAAGAAGATGAAATTGTGAAAAGTTTAAAACGACAACGCCGACGACAACAGACAACGGACAAATTTTGATCAGAAAAGCTCACTTGAGCCTTCGACTCAGGTGAGCTAAAAATGAACATACCTCACAGACACATATAATAGGACTTTCAGATCTGGTGTCTAATCGAGAACAGATAATGTCAGCTTTGGATGAAATGGTGTGACCTATTATTAGTGCCTTCTCTGTCCCAATAAATGGTTGGCTTCTAGGAAAAAAAATATATGATTCAACAGATTTACTGATGAAATCAGTCCTCCAAAGGAACTTTTTCTCACCATTTTGAAACTTCCAAGCAGGGGCATTGTTGAGCACATCAGTAAGAAAGATAAGTTCATAAGAATGTCAATATTGAAGAAAAGTAACATATCTTCAGTAGTAAAATAAATTTTCTCAGAGTGAAAGATTGGATTGTTCTTAGCCATAGATCACATTTCTGAGTAAGGGTTAAATATCTGGTGAATTTCCCAATTTTTGACCTGAAAATTGGGGAAAATTCATCAGTTAATTGGTAATTGTATAACTCTTGTGCTTAATTAATTCACTGGTTTATGGCTGTAGCATTTAAAAATTCTAGTACAACTAGAGATCATACTCAATTCCATCAAAAACAAGTTCAACTAGATGCTGTCATGAGACAGTAATACCCGCACTAAGGTGTTTGCCTCTAAATGCCCACTCCTTCATATTGGGCTTACCAAGGAAAAAATCCAAATAATTCTATAATTAAACAGTACATGTATTCGTCAAATCGAGCATAAAATGCTCAGGTGACCATGTGACCCATGAACCTCTTATACGCATTTCATATAGTTACTTAATTCATTACCAGTCTGAAATAACAGAATTTAATTAATGATGTAAATTAGGTTTTGATAAAGGGGGGGGGGGTATAAATTTTTGGCCCATAATTGGAACTTTTTAAATTTATTTTCTCAACAACAAATAATATTATTTTAGTACAAAGCATTTTTGATGAATTTATCAAAATGTGCAAACTTTTTTTAGTATTTGATTAGGCAAAAACCTCCTTGAAAAGCCATACCCAATCAATTTTGTCACCCATCCCCCACCCCCCAACACACACACACAATTTGCCTGTTTATGGAAATAGGCCTAGATGGCAAAGTTATGTTAAAACATCGTTTGTTATGATAATTTAAAATTTGTTCTAGTACTGTACATGTATGTGAACACCTTTTTGAAAATTTCTACATCACATTGGGCTTGCGTCACCCTACCAGTACTAGTACTAGTTTTACCATTATCATTTTTAGATTGCACATGCCATGTGACATGGTGCAGTGTTACATGTATATCAGTGGAAATTAATTCATTTCGTGTTTTAATTGGATTATATTTCATGAAGTTGACAGGACCTATGACAGTCGGTAAGTACAAGTTTAAGTATAGATTGGGGTAAAATAAACCGAAATGCAAATGGTTAGGTTAAAGTTTAAAAAGGATCAAAGATCATCGGCAATCTCCTATGCAGAGTTGTCGTTCGTTTCTCTCTCAGACACTGAATGTATGAGCCGATGGTAGAGAGTGGATCATCGGATGCCACATTCTGAAGAGTTATCTCCCGTTGTCGACATTACATTCAGTTACAGGCACAGATCCGGGAATTTTTTTCCGGGGGGGGGGGGGGGCACACCTCGGTCCAAAAAAAATTCCAGCCCAGAATTTCCTGAGGAGCAGAAAAAAAACAAACAAACAAACAAACAAAATAAAAACAATGATGGTGGGGTCCATGTTTTTAAAGGGGGAGGACATCCAAAGTCATTTTTTATTTGCTTCTGTAAATCAGTATATAGTCCTATTTAAATAACTCTGCAAATTCCAGGGGGGGGGGGGGGGGGGTCCAATCTCCCTAGACGCTCCCTGTCCCTGAAATGACAAATGATCATGTGACTCCTAAATAGTAGAAAACTTTTCCATTTGACTTTACATAATTATGTTTCTTGTGTTATTATGTTATGTCATCTAATGGTTTAAGGTTATGAACCCGTGGAGGTCATCCCCACTCTCTTAATGAACTGGAAATGTTCATAATATGACTACATCAAATTAAATAGAAGTGCATCGATGATAAGATTACTTGACATTTCATTCATGAATTTGGGTCAACCCATGTACCCTCCTAGAATTAGGAATGAAAATCATTCAAAGAGATGGACCATTAAACTATTTGTAAATATATTCACATTTTTTTTTATGTCAAACCAAAGTATTAGACTAGTTTGCATACATGAACAAACAGGGGTCGGGGAAGGGGCAAGGGGAAGGAGTTATCTCTTTACGTCTTAATTGTTGAAAATTCCTAAAATGAATGTTAACCTCAAATCCGACTTGTACGTCTTCATTATTTTTAAGTGGTGGTGTCTCCATATGAGTGAAAAATTCCCAAGAGGGACATTTAACAACAAACAAACATTAATGACTTAAAAAACACAATATACACGTACATGTATATTAGTCAACGGATATACTTCTGGTCATATCTCTAGTTCTCCCTTGAATCAGAAATGATGATATAAATATTTTAAGAATGATTAAGAGTTGAAAAGGTTGTGCATTTTAAAATTCACTAAGCTCTGTGGTTGAATTAGCTATACCAGTTTAGCTTATTTTGCTACTCAAAGCACCTTGATTAACTATTTTTAATCATACTGTTTTCTGAAATGTGAATTTTTTTCAACATGGATACAAGTCATACCTTTTCAGCTTCTGAAAACAATGCATGAAAAAAAAAAACTGCTTTTCAAATACTGTAACTCTTTCCAAGTACTTGTGATCATCAGTTTTTAGCTCACTTGAGTTTTTCTGGTTTTCTAATCACATTTTGTTTGTCATCCATCTGTCCGCCTGTAAGCTTTTCACATTTTTGTCTTCTTCACTAGAACCGCTGGGCAATTTCAACCAACCCTGCCACAAAGCATCTTCGGGTAAAGGGGATTCAAGTTTGTTCAAGTGAAGGGTCACACCTTTTTTCAAGGGGGGATAATCAAGAATTAGTAAAAATTTGGTGGTATCATTTAAAAAAGTCTTATCAAGAACCACTGACTGGGCCCAAAAAGTTGAAACTTTCTTTACATAGACTTAGTGTAGCTTCAAATTTGTTAAAATTATGACCCACTGGGGTAGGGTGGGGCCACATATGGGGATCCAATGATTTACATAGAAAAATGCAGGGGATTTTTTCCATCATAAATCTTCTTCTCATGAACAGCAAGGGCATTATTGTCGTCCGTTTTCACAAAAGGGACCTAAGGGACATTAAATCTCATTTGTCTGTCAGTCTGTCCGTTTGTCAGTCTGTCCGTCTGTCACAATAAATTTAACCTTGGTCATAACTTCTGAATAATAAGAGATAGTGCTTTCATATTTCACATGTACATTACCTACAAGAACTTTCTAAACATACCATGACTTTTGAACCTATGACCTTGACCTTGAAGGTTGACCTACTTTTAAAAAAAATTTAACATTATTTTAAATGATCATTTTGAAAGAGAAGAGATAGGGCGTTCATATTATACATGTATATTACCTGTGACAAGACCTTTCTAAATATATCATGACTTTTGACTCTGTGACATTGACCTTGAAGTTTAACCTACTTTTCAAAAATTGTATATTTCCTTATAACTTTTGATTGAGAAGAGATAGGACTTTTATATTTGAGATGTACATTACCTGTAACAAGATGTTTCCAAGCATGCTATGATTTTTTTACCCCTTGACCTTGATGTTTTACCTAATTTTCAAAAATTTTAACTTTGGTGATTACTTTTGAATGACATATGATAAGGTCTGCATATTTGAAACAATATGTCATAAATAATGGCATCCCATCCACTAGGACACGGAAAGCAGGGGACCACAATTCTTTGAATTTGCCTGTTAGTCATTTTGATATGGAAACATCCTCATATAGTGTAGATTCAAGTTTTTTATGCCCTGCCATGAATATGGCCGAGGCATATAGTGTTTGTCATGTCTGACTTCAATAAAACGTCATATGCTGATACATAATGATGTAAGCTTTTCAACTGCATCAAAATTTTTGACCTTGACTTTTCCTTTGACCTTGACCTTACTTTTCTTAAATTAGTGTCTAGATCAGTTTTGAATAAACAATTCAAGATATATTTATCAAACTTCATATGCTGATATATACTGCTGAGAGATATCAATTGCATCAACTTTTTTGACCTTGACTTTTCCTTTGACCTTGACCTCACTTTTTTAAATTAATGTTTATCTACGTTTTAAATAAACCATTTCTGATATTTTTATTGAACTTCTATGCTAATAGTAAATACATACTGATATAAGCTTTTCAACTGCATCAGCATTTTGACCTCAACCTTTCCTTTGACCTTGACCTCTCTTTTCTCAAATAAGTGTTAAGCTCAGTTTTAAATAAATCATTCAAGATATTTTTATCAAACCTAATATGCTGATTGCAGCCCGGAGGACCGGGCTGCTCTATACATATAAGTTTAAGTGTTGGTATATGGGGATTGAGGTGGGAGAAGTTATTCAGAATTAAAGGCTTTCTAAACATTAAAAAGATTTTTAATCAGAATGTTCTTTCCCTTTATAAATTACGAGATACACAATATATTTACTTCCATAAAGTGAATCTGTAAAAAAATATATATGTTTTTCATATTTAATATATAAAGTTGCTTATCATTTACTATCGAAAAAACGCCAGGTCCCTTTTTTTAGAACATCGAATTTTACTTATCGCATAAAAACGTAAAAATGTACTTTACACAGTTCGTGTTTTATATTCTTAAAGTGAAAGACATTTTTGAAAATAGGTGATGCATGTGTCTGGTTTCAAATTATATTTTATGCAGCCAACATTTACTTGAGGAATTGATAAAGTTTAAAAAGGTATCGTTTTTGTTCGATTTTCATCCGACTATAAGTTTTCAAAATATTCTCGACTATCGTCTCCATCATTTAGACGCATGCCTTTTTCACATATATGGAAGCGGTTTGATGATCAAGACTCATTTCCATTGTTTACTTTATTTATTTCCCGGGCGACAATTGATGGTTACATCAATGTTTTCTAGTATGTATTAGTGAAAGCTATTCAACTGCATCAAAAACTTTTCACCTTGCACTTTCCTGTGACCTTGACCTCCCTTCTCTTTAATTTGTATTTTGCTTAGTTTTAAAGAAACAATCTAAGATATTTTTATGTAAGCATGCACTTATACATAATTTTGTGAGAATTTATCATCTATATCCATTTTTTTTTAGATTTTAGTTTCAATTTTAAAGAAACTGTTCAAGATATTCTCATCAAACTTCATACACTCATACAAATTTTCATCTTGCATTAGTAATATACATTCGGCGGGGCATTTATGTCCTATGAACATATTTCTAGTTTTCAAATCATGACCTCCGAGGATAGGGTCAGGCCACAATAAGGGATCAAAGTTTTATAGAGATTTATAAGGAAAAAAATCTTCAAAATTCTTCTTTTTAAGAACAACAAAAGCATGATTAATTTGAAAACATTCCCAAGAAGTGTAGATTCAAGTTTGTACAAATCATGACCCCATAGGTTAGGGAGGGGCCATTTTTTTCCTGCCCCTATTTGCTATCCACATGGAAATGCAAATTTTAAAACCATTTTATACATCCACAGGACAAAATCAATCATCTTCCAAATTTGATCATGATTTAAGGCTAGTGCATAAAATATAAGGGAAGTTCTGGGAACCAGGATGTTTAAACATGTTAAATATTTATAAAAAAAAATTGACCCCCATTTGACCCCCAGGGGGAAAATAAGAATTCCGAAACCTTACTGCACATCTATAGGACACCATCAACCATCTCCCAAAAGATGATTAGGCTACTGTGTAAAATGTAAGAGGAGTTCTGGGAACCAGGGGCTTTTTGCATAAAAGACGTTATTTTTCGACCCCTATTTGATCCCATCATGAAAATAAATTCTGAAACCTTACTGCACATCAACATGACACCATCAACCATCTCCCAAAAGACGATTAGGCTATTGTGTAAAATGTAAGAGGAGTTCAGGGAACCAGGGGCTTTTTGCATAAGAAACGTCATTTTTCAACCCCCATTTGACCCCCAGGGTGAAAATGAAAATTCCAAAACCTTACTGCACATCTACATGACACCACCAACCATCTCCCAAAAGAGGATTAGGCTACTGTGTAAAATGTAAGAGGAGTTCTGGGAACCAGGAGCTTTTTGCATAAAAACGTCATTTTTTTGACCCTCATTTGACCCCCAGGGTGAAAATGAAAATTCCGAAACCTTACTGCACATCTACATGTCACCGCTAACCATCTCCCAAAAGATGATTAGGCTACTGTGTAAAATGTAAGAGGAGTTCAGGGAACCAGGAGCTTTTTGCATAAAAAACGTCATTTTTTGACCCCCATTTGACCCCCAGGGTGAAAATGAAAATTCCGAAACTTTACTGCACATCTACAGGACACCATCAAACATCTCCCAAAAGATGATTAGGCTACTGTGTAAAATGTAAGAGGAGTTTGAGAAATAAGAGTGTGACAGACGGACGGACGGACGGACAGACATGAGTAACAACAATATACCCGAACTTTCTTTAGAAAGTGCGGGTATAAAAATCATTGATAAGATCCCTTACAATAACTGAAGAACATATACTTACAAAGTATCAAAGCAAAATAGTTGAAGCAACTTTTCAAACAAGGCCTGGTATTTCCATTCTGACACTGCTTTCTGGGGCCTTTCTGCGATAATACTGTGTAGATAAAAGCTAATTTCATGTAGTTTTACAGTCAACCTGCAAAAAATAATTAGTATGTTCTTCATTTTAATGTTTGCTTTTAATAGGTCAGCCTTCCAGTGGTTTCAAGCTAATATGCATTCTAAAAGTTTGTATGATCAGTGACCGACCCTCTGAGATTTGTAATACGTTTAATTGTTGGGGCCAGCTACCCCAATCCCCACACTTTTTTTTATGAGGTTGCAGGTACACTCTTTCCCACCCCATTTTAAGTGTAAGGTATATACTCACCCCACCCCCACCCCACCCACCACCCCTCCCCCCCCCCCCCCCCCCAAAAAAAAAAAAGAAAATTGGAGTGACCCCTAAAACATAAAGTGTATTCTCTCTTCCATCCAAATGCAACTTTAAATCTTCACCCCCAGCTCTATTTTAGCAGGGTTTTAAATTAACAGTCGCCCTCTCGCAATTTGTGACTAATGTTCCATGTGGGCGACTTAAAATCGCCCATATGGCGATTAGAAAATTTACAATAATAAATATTTGTTTTTTCAATTTTGTCCGAATGTTTTGTATTTTTCTCTTGAAAAATTTAGTAATCAGTAAAGTGTTTATAATTACCCATAAGAAGTACTTATACATAAAGCGTTTAAGTGATTTTGTCAGGCACAATGTGGCATTGACGGGTCAATGAGCCCAAGAAACCAAAAAGTACTGTTGTTATTTGTGAATGAAAACATGCCATATGCTCTATATATGATATTGAATGATCATGTCAATCTTCATAAACAGAAGAGTTCCACTTCAAATTTAGATAAGTCGTGCATAATGTTTCAACAGATAGAAAAGAAATACCAAGCAAATGATAAAAAAAAAAAAAAATGGGGTTGTTGTTTTTATATTCAATAGAAGGTGTGATAATCTGTGGGCGAATAAATTTTGATGTGGGCCCCAGAATTGCAAGGTTCAGTAGCCCACATGGCTATCAAGGATTACAAGTTAGTTTAAAACCCTGTTTAGGTGTATAATGACTAATCACAATCGAAAAAAAATGAATGCAGTCAGTTGGTCAAGCTGTCAACAAAGCAAAGACTAGGTATAAAAAGAAATGAAGGAAAGCATTACTTAAAGCCTTATGCAGGCCCTCTGGTGCAAAGAGAATAAGGTTAGCTAAGGACAACACCCCTGCCTAATAAACAAAGACTAATGTACCAGTTAGACATACCCAAAGTTAGAAATTTGAATTACTCAAAACACCCTAAATGAATAAACTAGATGACTGTATATTCTAAGGGAGAAAAAGTACTTCTGTTCTGGAAGTTAATTAATGAAGTTCTTATAAATGCATACATGTACAAAGAAAAATTTATTCACTGTATAAATGTTTGCTTCTGAAAGTAATTATATATATATAAGTTTAAGCATTTGACAAAGCTCAATTAACAACTTAACATTTCCCTGCATAAACTTTTTTTTAAAAATCAAAATCAATAATTAAAAATGAAAAAGACATAAAATAATCATGCCCTGTTCACGCGGAAAGCTTATTAAACGTATTTAGTTACTGCAAATTAAAAATATGAACAGTATTCACAAAGAGAATTTAATGCAAATTAATTTAATTCAAATTAATATATTTACTGTGCATCACATTCGCAAATCTAATTAAAATTCAAATTTAATTTTGACACAATCATGCGTAATTGCAAAATTAAGTCACAAGCCAATTGTTGGTTGTCAAATATACATGTAGGTACACATGTACTTATAAATGCTATATTTGAGTAAAAAACACAGAGAAGGTATGTAAATCTCCAAAAATAAAAAAAAATGTACAGATACTATGACACTAAGTCAAATGGATCTGCTCTGCAGAAGGTGACATAATTTGCAAATAACATCATAATAGCCTTACTAAATAGCCTTACAGCAATTAAATTTTAAGGTGCATTATTTACTTCACATTCACAGGCACCTGACGAATGGATGGTGTAACATTCCCCCCTCATTTTCCACTACTGTTAAGTTTTAAAGACTGGCCCTACACGGTATATAAAAATATTAAAGGTAAGAAACATAAATCTTGTAAACACACAGGGTGCCCTGGTTCGAGGGAGATTTACATAACCAATGAAATTTATGTAAGATGTAGTTCAAGGAGATGTTGTCTTACGAGCCTCTTACATGTGCAGTCATACCTAGTCAAAATGATTTATTTGTCCTAAATTTGCATTTATTTACCGAATTTCCATTCAATGGGCCATCAAAACAGGTGGTCATCCAATCTCTCATCAAAGGGCATATTATGCTACAACATTTTACTAGTGGAGCGAAGCAGGTGAGGAATGATAGACTAGGTAATCATGTATTTTTGATAAGTTTTTGTGTCTAATAAAAATTCTCAGAAGGGGGGGGGGGGGGGGGGAGAGAGAATGGTTGTTACACCATCCATTTATCAGGTGCCTATCTTCATGTTGACTATCGTGTAAACGCAATTTAATAAGCAATAGTTTAATTTGCATTATTTTACTTCACATGGATTTAATGAAAATTAAATATTTAATGCACATTTGTGTCAATATAGCTGCAATAATGTAGCCCTCCCCTTTCTTGGGGGGGGGGGGGGCAAATTTTAAAAAATGGAGAGGGTTACATTGTTGCAGCTAATGTCAACAGGGCTTTAATACTGAAAGGAAAATCTACTAATACTATGGGGAAAGGCTACTATATCTGTATCACAGATATGTTTGTGACTTGGTAAACTGTCTTACCATTGCATATTTACTATCCCTTCTTTTTCGTTTAACCTCATCGTCATTATCTGATTTTCATCTGGACTCCATTTTTTCCTCAATTTCTCATATGTGCCCTTTCTCTCGGAAATGTCCTCTATCGACTCGTAATCAAATTCAAAATCACAGGCACTTACTAGATTATCTACATTTGTAACAGAATCGCTTGAGAGACGAAGTAAGCACCATCTATTTAATATAATTTTCAATACCTCCTCCTGGAAAAAGCGAACGCCAAGTTGATCAACGAGATGAGGGGTCCATTCACAATAATTTATATTTTCTGTCACATGGTCACCTGAATGTTCTGATATTGGTGAATTAGTTGCCATTATCAGATTATCATCCTCTCACCGACACAGTTGGTTTTATAATTTATTACATATATATGCATTGCATGCCGATGTGCGCATAATCGGCATATTTCTTATATTTCTTTCACTTTTTCCTGAAGAAGTTCCAAAAATTTATGTCATCTCGATCCCGATTAAATTTCGAAAGCCGTACTTCTCGGGCCTTTAATAAACGTGACAAGCGAGAAAATGTGTGTGTGTTTGATAGTGAGGGAGGGTGTGTGTGTGTGTGTGTCTATTTGTTTGTTTGTTTGGTTTTTTTTTTTCAAAGCGAGAAGTGGTAACTAAGCGCGAAACGTTACATTTTATTTCAAGAAATCTACAAAATTAATAATACAAATATGTGAAAAGGGTTTAAGGACCCTCTCTACACCAGTGCAAAATATTTTTGGGACATTGAGAAAAATATATTGAATAAAGGTGTTAATATTGAGCTTTTCTATTTAATTTTCACTATATGATACCTGACATTTACCCCCAGGAAAAATGCTCAAACACAACACAGTATCAGTGAATAGAAATCACTGTTATTTACCTCCATAGAGAAAATATATGTACATGTAAATAACATGTTCAATTAATTTATCTTGGCCTTTTAAAATGTTAAGAATACTTGAATTTATTACAAATTGAGTAATATACTGTAAATTTTTATTTTTAATAATTTAAATCTAAGGGCAGATCACTCTAACTGCAGAAAAATACCATAGAATCAGAACTCTTTAGTGTGCAGTGTAGAGAGGGTTCTTAAAACACGGACTCCCAAAAATATCAGAAGTGAGATCAGGGGGTCGACTCGTGCAGGTAACATAAATTAAGCATGTAAAGGGTATCAAAGTCTACACCTAGAACATAAGTATATTTTAACTATTATATACACATATTCCATGTATTTAGAACTATTAAATGTTACAAAACTCGACATTAAAACACTTCTCTGTATGTTCATATTATGCATTAAAAAAAATAATTCCCCCCTGTAAACTGTAACTGCAATGTTCCTGTTGCTTAATTCTATTCCAACCACATTACAAGTAAACACAGAGATTATAAACCCGATAATTTTTTTCGCCTTTATTTATTGCTGGGCTAAATTTGAAATGTCAAAAGATTCACAGACTCACAGAACTTTAGATAGTGTAAAATGAAACTGCATGACCAATTTCAGCAACTTTTTATAAATATGCTTACGGAAAGAAAGACATTTTCAATCGTAGAGATAAGAAGGAAACAAAATGTACGTTACACTATATTCTTCCGTTAAGATCTAGAATACTTTTATATACATTAAATATAGAAAATATGAGACGATTCTGAGTAAGCGACCCCTTGCACTCCGTAAACCGAAAAAGACGTTTTCCTTTACACAAATAAAAATTATTTTGTACATGAATAGTGGTCATTCGAAATGCACTTGACTGAAATGTACGATACAATGAAATTCAAACTAAATGAATCACCCTGGAATGTTCATACATTTTCATATTTTACATACTCGAACATGTACACAAAGGAAAGTTGCGAAAGTTGGAGGTCGATTAAGTATCAAAATTATGAAGAGAAACGTTTCTGCTTTCGAAAAATTTCAGATTAAGATCTTTTATATGCAATATAATTTTGATACCTATGTATATCTTTCTGAATACGAAACATGCATGTGTGATGCATTTCTTATGAGATATATGCAAGTTCAAGAAGTATTAAATTGTGTGTAACGTATGCGTATGGAGGACAATTAATTTTTGTCCCCCGCTTTCGCGAAAGCGAGGGGGACATTAAATCTGTCAGTCTGTCCGTCTGTCAGTCTGTAATAAAAACTTTAACCTTGGTCATAAACTTTTGAATGAGAAGAGACAGAGCTTTCATATTTAACATATACATTACATGTAATGTTCAAGGCCTTTCCAAACATAAGTTATGATTTTTTACCGTGGCCTTGAAGTTTGACCTACTTTTCAAAGAATTCAAAACATTACTTTAAATTGGTCTCAAATTTTGAAAGAGAAAAGATAGGGCTTTCATATTATACATGTATATTACCTGTGACAAAACCTTTATAAATATACCATGACTTTTGACCCTGCGACCTTGAAGTTTAACCTACTTTTCAAAAATGTTATTTTTCCTTATATCTTTTAATTGAGAAGAATTCGGACTTTCATATTTGACATGTGCATTACCTGTGACAAGATGTTTCCGAGCATACTATGGTTTTTGTCCCCTTCATCTTGACCTTCATGTTTGACGTAATTTTCAAAGATTTTAAATTTGGTGATTACTTTTAAATTACATAGTCATTGTGGCCCCACCCTACCCAACGTAAATTTTAACGAATTTGAATCTACACTACCTTTAGATGCTCCTATAATAATATGATTAATCATGGCTTTGCTGTTCTTGAGCAGCAGATATTTTCAAATGATTCCTATATATTCTTATGCAAAACTTTGACTCTCTGCTGTGCCCCAACCCCCCGGGGGGGGGGGGGGGGTCATGATTTGAACAAACTTGATTTTACAATACCTTAGGTTGCTTCTACATATATGGCTAATAATGGCTTAGTTGTTCTTGAGAAGAAGATTTCAAAGATATTTCCTATGTAACGTGTATGATCAGGTTCTTTCAAGGGATATATAGGTTTCCTTTTACTATGTCTGAGTTAATGACTGGACAACTATATCTGAGGGTATATCACATAGTACTTAATGTTTTTTTTCTTTCATCTAGAGATTGGGACTGGGTAAGGTTATACTTGCAGCGTGTTTCTCCCCCAGGTTCCCCTTGATAGATAAGAACAAATTGTCTCAATCTTCTTAAGATTTACTATACCCAGAACTTAAGTACTTAACAAAGATTGCGTCGCCCGCGTGGCGCAGTGGTAGAGCGTCTGCTCTAGAGTCGCGGAGTAAGGAGTTGATCCTTACGTCGCGGGTTCGAATCACACTGTGGGACGTGGAGACTTGTCCTTCGGATGAGACCGTATAAACCGAGGTCCCGTGTCTCAGTAGGTGCTAGCACAAAAAAGATCCCTCATTGCTCAATGGCCCTGAGTGTCGAGCATAGGTAAAAAATTTGCAGCTCTCCACCGGCAACTGGTGGCGTCTCCATATGAATGAAAAATTCTCGAGAGAGACGTTAAACAACAATCAAAGAAAGAAAGATTACATTGAGATCTATAGAGAAGTTTTTTAAGAAATAAAAATTCAAATAATAAGAATATCGATCAATAAATACTGTAGTGAAAAAACACACTAAAACACATTAGAAACAGAATGGCAATTGAAAATGATTTTTTTTACCGGGTAAGATTTTTAAAATTGATTTTTTTTATTAATTAAAAACAGAGGGAGATAACTCTTACCAAAATTCAAGGTCATAAATCAGGACACATCCTACCCTTACATGCAATGTAATAAATGGGAATTACGTCTAAATATACTGAGTATTCAACACCTATACACATCTGTTACTGTAAAATGAGAAGATATGGTGCACTACTAATTTTAGCGCCTTTGGCGCAAGCGCCCCTGAACGCTAAAATTTATTGTGCGCTAAAGGATTAAACATTTTTGTGTTCAAAACAATCGCTTGTTAAGTACATGTAAACCGGAAGGCACGATTACGTAATGTCGCAGAGTCGGTGTATTTTTGAATACACACTCGCACTGGTAAATTGTAGGATCTATCGAGAAAGTTCTGCCAAATTATGAATTTATTAAACTATTGTTAGTTGTTACCCGGTACTTATCATAAGCACCTTCAACGTTGGGCTTCTCACCGTGTCAATTACCGTATAACGGGTATTTTCTGCGGTTGTCCAATTTTTGCAGAATTTTGTGGATAGGACAAATCCGCAAAAATTACAATCGCAAAATATTTTTCAATATTTCTTCAGATATATATTTTATACACGCAATTATAATAAGTTGTGCGTATGTCACAGGATTCTCATTAACGCGAGAAGCTGCGTACTGGACGCAGCAAAATTATTTGGGACGCAAGGTTCTTAAAAACGATGCGTCCGCAGACTCATGAGTGGACACGTCCTCGTTAGCGAGAATATTCGGGTGTCATCGAAAGTCGAAGATTTAAAGATGTCACTCAGAATTTGTCCAAAACATATTGAATCAAAACGGTCCTGTAAATAATATCAATTTCATAATTTTATACAAAAGATCTTTTCTTGTACCTATTTCTTTATTTTATACGGATATGCATGTAGGCCTACATGTAAATGACTAAAAGAGATTTCGCAATTATTCGCCCAAACTCAAATAGCTGCAAACAACACATATTAGCTTTTCTTTCTTTCTTTAACACTTTTTTTCAATCTTGTGTTTTACCTTGAGACCATAATTACTGCTTGTATACACAATGTGGCTTGATTGTCTCGTGAATTTCACTCAATGCAGACGATTGACAGGATTAGTTACGCCTCATTGCACATGGCACCTGTGATTGTATACGGTCAACTTTAGGTTACCTGATTATGCAACTGTTTGTTTGAGCTTAAAATATAAACACCAGGTTAATTTTGATGGCAATTAACTATAAGTGTATTTTTAGAATATGGCTTGGATGCATTAATTATCTATATATTTAAATATTTTAATAGATCGCATAAAACGTTTGTTACAATGTAGAATAAAGATTTTTATTGTTGTTTGGGTGGACTGATACTGTAATAATTCATTTCAATTGGGACTCGACATAATTGTACAAAGACTAACTAAAATATAGTAGTTTAATTAAGCGAAATAGCTTAATACCAGTTCTCATGCACCTTTGATCAATATGCCTCAATGAATTTATAAAACGTAAACATGGCAGCTATCTGATAATTCTTAGAGTTTGGTGATCATACCCAGTATATATTTTTTTGCGGTATAATGCAACCGCAGAAATTGAAAACGCAGAAATTAATTTGCTA